CCCGCGAGTACTACGACCGGCTGGCGCGGGGCCGCCCGGCCCGCGAGCGCGCGGCCCACAGGGACCCCTACGGCCAGTGCCCGCGGACCGTGTCGGATCTCGCCCTGCAGAACCACCTGGGCGAGCGGTGGGGGCCCTACTTCGCCGAGTACGACTGGTGCTCCACGTGCTCCTCCTCCTCCGAGTCCGACAACGAAGGCTATTTCCTCGGCGAGCCCATCCCGCAGCCCGCCCGGCTCCGGTACGTGACCAGCGAAGAGCTGCTGCACAAATACGGCTCCTACAGCGTGCCCAAGTCCTCCACCTTGGGCGGCCGCGGACAGTTGCACAGCCGGAAAAGGCAAAAGAGCAAAAACTGCATCATATCCTAAGGGCATCCTTGCTGGGCACCTTCAGAGAATGTAAATTAAACTCACAAACTTGCACTGTTTTAGATCATGTAAGCGCTTTTGTTGTAACAAAAAGACCTGAAGATTCAGGATTTGTAAGAAGGTTGTAGACTCGCTTCTATAAGTAGTCATAATCGTGGGCACGGTGAATATATTTTGCACATCTTAACTTTTGAGGAAAAAAAACAGTTCACTTTAGCCTCTAATATTTACCTAGTAGTTTTTCCTCTCTCTCCTGATTAGTGCCACCCTTTAAAGTTTCAGTTACCACCGTTTACTGTAACCACCAGTTTACTAGTAGCTTTTGCTTTCCACCACGCTTTTGTTTTTCATTGCCTGTTTCGGTAAGTAATTTGTCTCTCAGACAGTGTGGGAGTCTAAGTTATTTCCATGATTGTTGTAAATGCAATGTAAATGAGAGTTTGGAGAAAATATTTTTGTATTTTGTAATATCAGAGGAATTTCTATATCTTAGGAATCACTGGGAAAACGCATGCACATTCATAACTGTTTTCAGCCAGAGCTAAGCAAATGATACTTTGGAATCTCCTTTTCATTTCATCATCAGATTTCTGAGGTATATTGATGAATTTTTGAGTTATTTGTTTGAGGTTTGGCTTTTTTTTTTTTTTAGTTTGTTTTGTTTCCTGGTAAATGAAGAGAACATTTTCTGATTCATTAAATCTTGAAGAGGCCTTGGTGGCATTTTGAAGTCTGCTCACACCTGTGATTTTCAGGTACTCTTTATCATTCAAAAAGAAGAATCCTGACAGTTGCAAAAGTGACTTTTTCTTTCTTTCTTTCTTTCTTTTTTTTTTGGTTAAACAGAAAAGACCAGAACTACCAAATGTCTGCAAAGTTGTAAATGACCAAAGCTGGAGAAGGAATTTTACATCTCTGTAGAGAACGCTGAAGTTACTAAACGTCGAACTATTATTTGGAGTAAATAAAAGTGTAATGGTGCAATTGTGTGATGTCAGCATGACGTTGTTTTGAATATAGACTTGTCTTATGGTGCTCTAGTTTCCTGGGTTATGTTAACTGCTGTTCATTACCAAGTGGAAGTTTCAATATTGCCTACTACCTAACGCGCTAGGAGAACGACTGCAAACGCCTCCCTGGGCTCTGCTCCTGCCTCTGGAAGAGGCGCCTCTTCCCAGAGCGGGATCGAGCCCCGATCCTGGAGCTAGAACAAAACCAACAGAAGCATCGACATGGTCGAGTGTTATATAAATAGGGCTCAACTGTAATTGTATTATGGTGGATGTGAGTTTTTTTCTCTGTATGCTTTTAAACCATGGAGGCACTGCCCTCGAGGGGTGTCCCGTGGGGTGCCCGAGGACCCGGGCCCCGGGCCCGAGCGCGGGCCCAAAGCGTCGCCTCCTCAAAGCAGCAGATGCAGGAGATGGTGACGACGGATGTCTCCATGCCACAAACTATTGCTAGGAATTTTTTTGTTGTTTGTAAAGGACAATGTGATAATTATTATTCCTTTAAAAAGAATTAAAAAAAACACTTAAGTATATTTAAAAAAAATGTTTTTTTTTTCCAGTTGGAATAAATGGAAATATTCATCCAAAGGGAAGAGTCTCCTGTGTATGTTTTTCCTTTTAAAGTGTGTTGCGTAGCTGCAAAGCACAATAACGTCTTTTAGTCACATTTCGCCTGTGTTATAATTGAAGATAAGGACGAACTTGGCTGTGGGTGGTGGTGAAGAGCTCCTGTGCGGCCCCTGCAGCCCTTCCCACCCCGACTGATCTTTGCAGCATTAAAAAAGAAGCCAGATCGTCAGCGTGTGATCAGTCTAGCTGTTCAGTATAGCTCAGCTGAAACCCATAGCACGACTCCAGTTTACCCTGAATGGGACTTCAACCTGTAATTTATAAATAACAGCCTTTTTCTTATAAAGATCGGGGATCTTGAGATGTTTTCCCAAACAGGCCTGTTAAGTAGGGAGGGGGTATTGCTCCCAGTGACAAGCGTGACACTAACTACGGGTTATTATATAATTGGGTTTTAATATGTGCAATTTAATTCATTGGCAGTGATTAAAAGCACAATGAACGATGTCTGTCAGACGCCAGTGCTGCCATGGGCTGAGCCTCCTGAGCAAGAGCCAGGGCTGTTTTTAGCTCTTTTTATGACACCCATGGGACACGGGACATGAAAAAGGATGGCACCTGCTGCTTCTTGGCTGGATCTTGGGGAAAAAAAGGGCTCAGCATCTGGACATTTCAGGTGAACACAGGGAGGGAAGGGCAAATGAATTGCTATGGATGAGGATTTTTCCCCCAAGCAATGACAGGAACCAACGCGGCTCCCAAGGCGGTCGTGGTGCAGGGTCTCCCCCCGCAGCAGCATTTGCCGCTGCAGATGGCTGGTGTATTTAATAAAATAATAATTATATAATATGATAATTATATGATATAATAATTAGATAAATAATAATTAAATAAAGAGTAATTATATGAATAACAATTAGATAAATAATATTTGGATAAATAATAATTAGGTAAATAATATATTGCCTGGGAGCAGAACAGACGAATTGGTGAGAGGAGGTGATCCCATGCGATGTTCCCCTCCACCGTGTCCTTTGCCCACAGAACACAAAGGTCTCATCACATTTTAGAAGAAAGACAGTGTTGGGAAGCGAACCAAAGCAGGAGGAATTTCAGCAATGAGTGCAAAAATACCAGGTTTCAAACCATTCTTTTTTCTTCTTCCTGCGTATGGCCTCCAGAAGCCCTATACGCTTCGATGCATGAGGAAAGAACATGATTTTTGTTGTTGTTGTTGCTAGCCTGTTTGGGCTATGATTAAACATTTCTGACAAACCCAGTGAGCTTGAGGGATGGAGCTACAAGCCTGTAAAATTGGGCTCCGCAGCCATCTGGCCCTGCTGGGTCACCTTTCTGCGCGCGGTGTGCGGGGTCCCAGGCGCCTGGCGTTTTCCTGAGTGTCTCAGAGAAATTCATAACTTCACTAAATGAAAAAATATGTATTTTTAATAACATATAAAATATTTTTATATATAGTATATAAAATGATCAGGTGTGTTGCTCCCACGGTTTTCTTCTGTCTCATAGCGCAGTCTCTGGGAGCAGCTCGGTGAGACTCAGCTGGCGAGTACAGATGACCTAAGAGTTTCTGCTGGCTTTGTAAAAAAGAAAGAAATAAATAAAACCTCTAAATAAAAGACACAAAGCATGATGAAAGAGGACAGGCCACACTCCTGTGGGTGACAAAGAGGCGCTGCTGGCTCTTTCAAGGCTTCTTTTGCCTCCAAGGGCAAAGCTGTGGGGTGCTGCTTGCTAGCAGCGGGATGACACGGAGCAAGCGGTTTCCTCCGTATCCCTGAAAATGATGGATGAGGCAGTAAAACCTGCCCAAGCTCTGGTGATGGCACCTGGTCTGCAGCCCCTGGCTGTGCAAAAGCCACCAGGCCTCCAACCTGCCTGGATAAATTGTGCCTTGGTACATGGATTTGGGAAGGATCCTGTGAGCTGCTCCCATGCTCAGGCTAATCTCAACCCCGGGCTTCTTTTTTGGGGAAAAAAGAAAAAAAAAATGCAATCAACCCCTTTACATGCAATTAGGCTATTCTATCTATAGACTATTCTAATCTAGGGCTGCCCTTGTTTTCCCAGAGAGCATCTGCTACCAGGTAAACTGTCCTCTGCTACGGGGAACATCTCATTAGCCAGGAGCAATTGCAAACGACTTTTAAAGATTAAATGCCCTGTTTTTTCCCCCTTTGGTCCCATTTGCCCGTGCCACCTGACAGCACAGGAAAGAACAGACTTTATGCAACACCCCTTCAATCCAGGTCCTTAAAACCCACCGAGGAGCTCGGCTCCTGTTTCCCTGCAAGGGGGCCAGGGCCAGCAGAGCTGCCGGATGAAGTCTGGCAGCCTTGCTTCCTTGCACAAGGATTTTTTGCATTTGGGATTTTTTTTTCCAAGAAGCCCCTAGGAAAGGCCTTCCCATTTCCCATATTAAACTCTTGGAAAAATAAAAAAAAATATTAAAATAAAGGCAGTTCCCACCCACCTTGCTGCTCCTTCGCTTAGCGGGGACAAACCCGCATGTCACCACCTTCCCTGTCTTCGTCGAAACCCACCATCGTTCACCAACACATTTCCAGGCGAGTTTTCCTGTTGTTAAAGCAAATATTTATATCTGCTGCTCTCCTAGTGGATCTGGACAGGGTCAGCTTCTTAAGCAAGGCTTAGCCGAGAGAGCTGATTTATTAAAATGGATAAACAAGCGGAGCCAGTTAATTCAGTCTAAATAAAGGCTTAAGCCCTGAAGCGCGCCCATGAGCTCACAGTATATACTTACATGTGCATACATACCTACATATATATGTATACATACACATATGCACACACATAACTCCAGCACAAGCTGCTGCTCTGTGGCCCCCCCCCTTGGGCCACGCGCTGGTTTTTAGCAGCCCAAAGGTCAGTCTGAGGCCCCGCACACTGCCCAGGGCGCCGATCCCGGTCCTGGATGCAGGGATCCAACCCGCTCTGTCCAAGTCCAAGCTGCTTTTCCTCTCTTTGGAACAGGCACGATGGGCAGCTGCAGCTCGCTGCCCTCCTGCCTTCAGCTCTTTGCACTTAATCTATGCACAGAGGGTGGTGGGTGGTTTTTTTTTTTTTCTTTTTTTTTCTTTTTTTCTTTTTTTCTGCTTTTCTTTAAGTCAGCCTTTACTTGTCAATCATGGGCTCCTGCTTGCTGTTTTGTGGTTGAGCAGACTCAAGCAGTTTTTATTTTGGTACTTTCTCCTCAGAAAGAGAAAGAGAAAGAGGAAAGGGGGGGGGGAGGAAAGAGGGGCAAGAGTGAAAAAGAGGAAAGGAATGAAAGAGGAAGAGGAAGAGGAAGGGGAAAGGGAAAGGAAAAGGAAAAGGAAAAGGAAAAGGAAAAGGAAAAGGAAAAGGAAAAGGAAAATGGAAGAGGAATGGATTAAGTTACATGTACAGGAGCAAACTGGGATGAAGAATGAAACAAACACAGAAAATAACAGCAATCTAAAGAGGAGAGTGAGGTTTTATTCATGGTGAAATAGAAAGCCCTGTCACGCGAAGCAACTTCCCCTTGGTGCGCTCTGGGCCCATCTCTGGCTGGGATAAATCAGAGCAACCTTTGAGTGACCAGAGCTGGCTGGAGGTGGAAACCTCTCCTTTGCAAGCTCAGATTTGCTCGTGTGCAGCCGCCTCTCTCAGCAGCAGGGGCTCTTCTTCTGAAC